AAGCCTACACCCACACCGAATTTTCATACTGGACTTCAATTTCTCTTGAATGACTAGAAAAGACCCCATCTCGAGTGAACAGCGACCCAGATCACCACTTGAAGTCCCCGCCCTCGATCGTGGGAAAGTGTCCCGAAGTCTCCTCCCTCGTAGCCTTGTCAATCTACGTATCGTCAGCACGAACTCTGCGCAGTAGACGAGCGATCAAGAACTTACCGTCGATACTAAAAAGTTGGCACTATCCTCAACAGTGATAAACGCCTTCTCCATACCAAAAGTCTTCGCTCCCTCGTTACCCATGTCCGTCTGCACAAACCCAGGGTCGAGCACAAAGGCGGTAAGCTCCGGGTGATCAAAGTGCGCCTTGCAAACCATCCAGTGCAACATGACTTTGGACATTCCATACGCAGCCATGGGGAACGGACGGCTCTCCATACCGGTGATACTGGCGATTGGCGTTCCGAGCGCAGCGAACTTGGGGTTGGATGATTTGAGGAGCAGGGGCAGCACAGCTTGGAAAAGAAGGAGGGGTCCGTAGGCATTGACTTCGACGTGCGACTTGAGCACGTCGAGAGAGACTGAGGCAACGGGGGCGTAGTCCGAAGAGACGCCGGCGTTGGCAATGACGGTGTCGATGGTGGTGATACCTTGGCTCTTGAGTTCTTCGATGGCCTTCTTCGGGCCTTCGGTGTCGCGGCTGTCGTAGGCGGTGACGATGAGCTTGCTGTCTTTGCCGACAGGGAGGGACTTGAGTGGCTCCGCGGAGCTGGTGGTGCGTGCTACGGCAATGACGGTGTTGTTTGGGCGCGCCAGGTAGGTCTCGACCATTGCCTTTCCGAGGCCTAGAGAATGGTTAGTTGAACATCGAATAAGATGCTAGGTCAGCCAGAAGTACCTCTAGCAGCGCCAGTGATGAGGTAAGTTGTTCCTGCCATAGTGGAGAAATTGTCGCTGGGAGTTGACGAGTTCGAAGTCTTTTTGCTGGTAGATTGATCTGTGTTGGAGCTGTCGGACTTGAATCAGGAGAACAATGCAGAGAAGGGTGACATGTATGGGTTGTTTGATCAGCACAGTTGTCTACTTAACCGTAGACCTACGATCATGTTTGGCTGAATTGATAAGCCAAACTCGAAGGAGCGCGCACGTGTGACACAGTTTGCATCTTTGTCAGCTCGGTCAATCGCAAGCGCGAGCAATTGCGGCTGAAATGTCAGCAGATACAAAGACAAAGACAAAGACATATTGCGTTGCAAATGTGGACTTGATGCACGGACGACGCCGCAATTCCATGGGATGCTGACCTTGCATGATTAGTGTAACATAATCGACGGCCCGCTCTCCACGTTTCGGGTGAGCAACTTTCGACGAGTTCCGCTGGCCTGGAACGCTAGAAACGCCACACTGGTTGCCTTTGCTGATTGCCTTATATCGACCTCGCTGGGCGTTCAGCCGCGCATACCTTCGTCTGCAACCCCCAATGCTCACAGGCACTTATTGCCAATGAGTGTGTTTACAAATCGACACGCATATGGAAATACGCGCCTGCGGTCTTAACAAAGTCGCCTGCTATTGCACGGAAGACAATCAAATTCAGAATTGGATGATTCTCCTATGGTGTACGGAGAGTAGTTTCCGAGTTCGCAACTCTACTTAGGTACATCACACAAGATAGCGATGTGTTGAATAGTCGTCAGTATTGCTTTGAAGCTCTCACCGTGTATGTGTACATTGTAATCTTGTGGATAGAATAAGATATAGCATCATGCGAAGTGTGTTGTATACCTAGGTAGGCAGTTGATTGACGGCGTGGCTATCACGTGATCAGTCTAGACCGAAACAAGGTTAGCTCTCGGCGCTAGACAGAGTAGTGCCAAACTCCGAGCCGGGCTGAGATCACCCACAGCACTCGGCCCTGTCTTCAGCGGGTGCCTCAGACCCTGCACGTGTGCGCAGTCATTAACGTGAGTCTTAGCCATTCTTGCTCGCTATATAGCTCAAGCCACCTGCCCGTGCCGTAACAATGCAACCCTCCATGGATGCCGTGGAACGGCGAAAGATACAGAACCGACACGCACAGCGACGCTTTCGCAGTAAGTGATTTAGACTGCTAGAAGGCCCGAACCAAGGCCGGGCCCTAGTCCGAGTCAAAGGCGCGCCTTCTATTATTATTGAGGCTTCTGCGACTACTCGGCCCTTTGATACTGACCGTTCGGGCACTGCAGGCAAGAAGGCGACTAAAAATGGAGGAGAGCCATTCACGACAGCGGCGGCACCGTCCGCTGCAGCTACAGCGAGCGGGCCAATTATACAGCCGCGCCCGCAGTCAAACCACGATGTGCTGGCATGGGGCAGCGAGGGAAGGCTATCTCACCCTCACGCAGCTGGACTACAGACGTCGGAGCAAGACCCGATGCCCCCATCGACGACCCCCAATGACGGCAACACACTACGAGGGGACGTCACAATTACAGGGCTGCTCCGCCAACTTCAAGATTCGCCTATTTCGCCATCGTTGCGACCACGGTAAGATACTCTCAATGCTATGGCGTGGCGATCTGGCTGAGTGACATGCAGCTCGCACATGAACATGACCGACTTCAACTTCCCACCGTCTATGACACAGTCACGTCACGCTGTGCTATGGCCCCACGACCCTCCAGCCGAGGCCATGGTCTTCAGTACTGACGACGCTGGGGGCTTCTACTCCAATCAAGACACAAACAGAACCGCGTGGCCTGACATCGGAGCGAGCCGCGCCCAAACTGGGTCTGAAAGCAGCGGTGATGCGGTAAATTTCGAGACGTGTCATAAAGCTGGCGAATCACTAACATGAGCGCAAGTCACAAATCAACACTCGTATAATCACCCCCAACCTCTTTGTCGATGGCCGCATTGGAGAAGACAACGACCTCGACGACGACGAGCCCTTTCAGACCAACCTCCACATCGCGGCCGAGGCCGGTCATGACAGCCTCGTAGGTCTTCTGCTGGGCTCGGGGTACACCGTCGATGAACCCGACAGTGACGGCAACACAGCTCTGCATAGGGCCAGTCTTGGTAAACATGTGAAGGTGATGTCGAGGCTACTCAAAGCCGGTGCAAATCCCAACGCGATGAATGTTCACGGCTGGACTCCCGTGCATATGGCCTTTTCTCTCGGCTCGATGGAGGTAGTAGAGGTCCTGGTCCGACATGGTGGTGATCTGAACAAGCGTGCGAAAGGTAAGTTGAGCTGTGACAGATTCAAGGAAGCTCTCGTAGCGAAGGATCGAGGGCTTTCGCCCGAAAAATAGCTAGGATTTGTTATCGCTGTTGTGAGCATTGGCAAAGGCTAAAGTACGGTGAAGCAACACAGAGTCTGTTAAAAGGACTCATGGCTTTTCGGGCTAATAATAAACAGTAACCGCTGTCTGCAACTTTCCTCATAAGGCGTCGGGTGCAAATGATTTATCTCGATATGCCAACTACAATACTAATTCGTAAGACCAGTTCCACGTCGCACAGTCGTCCGATATGCCCATCCTCATATTGTCCAGACACGATCCTCCCTCTACCATCAAACATTTCGTCTCACCAAGGGTAGCGGCGGTCAATGGTCTCGTTGAAGAATTGCTCAGAATGCTCCTTCTTGGTGGCATTATCGACCTAGAGCCCCGTTAACGACAGACAACGCTGTAGAGAAGTTATCAAACTCACAATGTGCGCAGTGTTCTTGCTGCTGTCCTCGAGGGTGAGCGGTGCCTTCTCCAGACCGAAAGCGCGTGCGCCCATGTTGCCCATGTCTGTTTGAACGAGGCTATTCACACGACATGTCAACTTCGGCATCACACGACAAGCTTGGGGATATCTTACCCAGGATGGATGCACAGCGTGATCAGCCAGTCGTTTTCCATACCCATCTTGCGGACCATGACGTTGGCGAGCGCCTTGGAGCCGGTGTAGCTGATATTGGGATAAGGAAACTCAGGCATGTTGTTGATACTGCCGCCAGCAGCGCTGATGAAGGCGAAGCGGGCCGAGTCTGACTTCTTGAGCAAGGGCAGGGTCGCCTTGTACAGTATCATGATAGAGATGGCATTGACCTGGAGGGCGTTTTCGAACTCCTCGAGTGGCACATCGGCGACGGTGTTGAGCGGCGCAATACCAGCAGCTGACATGACGACGTCGATCTTGTCGATGCCCTTCACGGCCTCGTATGGGTCTGTCTTGGACGCCGAGTCAATCTTGACGATGAAGACTTTGGTGTTCTCGCCTTTGGAAACACTGAGCAGGGCTTGAGCACCGGCAGGGTCGCGCACGGCAGCAATGAGGGTGTTGTTTGACTGTGCGACATAATGGTCGAACATGCCGCGGCCGATGCCTGCATATCCAGTCAAATCAGTTTAGCAATACCAAGTAGGTCAAAGGCACGTACCGCGGTTAGCTCCCGTGATGAGATACGTCTTTCCGGACATGTTTTCGGAGGTGCAGCGGGTATGGTGAGAATGGTATGTAGGTTGCAGTTAGATGCAGTCGGTTATAGCGCGAGCCGGCCAATATCATGGTTCAGATCCATGGCTGTTACTCCCTGAGTTGAGCAGCCACGTGACACTGCACGGTCACCTGCAGTCTTGTCTAGCAGGAAGGCACCGAGCTGCCATTTCTAAGCAGCGTGCACGAGCGTGGCACAGCTTGATGTTTACATTTATGATTATTTTGATGACTCCTGATTGGCTGTAGCACACCCACCCGCGGCCCGTCACACTAATGCAAGGTCAGCATCTTGTAAGATTGCGGCCGTGTATTACATTCTTGTGTTCGCGCTCGTCTCATGATGATCCGATTGCAATGACTTTGCATGGTCATCCTCACCTACTCCGCAACCACCAAACGCAGTGAATTTGCCAGGCATGCTTCAAGTCAGCACTCTGCAGCTTCAGGTGCACGTTCGTACAGCTCGAAAGCTTTGATACAATATGTCTGCGCAAACGGGCTGCGGTTGAGAACCTCAGAATCCTGTCATGAATCAACTCTTCCACAACCTTGTGTCCTCGACCTACGGGCGGATCGGACTTGTGTCTAGCGTGTTCCTCACGCTATACGTACTTTACGTCTCCATCTATCGTCTCTACTTCCATCCTCTGCGGAGCGTTCCAGGTCCTAGACTTGCTGCTTTGACGCAATGGGTCGAGACGTACTATGAGTGCTTCAAGGCGCCCGGTGGTCAATTCATGTGGGAATACCAGAAATGGCATGAGAAATACGGTATGTCTACATGGTCTAGGAAGCAAATACTTTTTGCTCATCACTTCGTTGCAGGGCCTATCGTGCGTGTTAGTCCAAATGAAGTACACATCCAAGATCCCACCTTCTACGATACCCTGTATGCGCAGTCTCGTCACTCGGACAAGCTCAAGCATCTCGAGCACCGCTTCAACAATGAGATGTCCTCATTCGCTACTGCTGAGCACAGTCTTCATCGTCTGCGTCGTAGCGCGCTCAACCCCTTCTTCTCTAAACGTAAGATTACTCAGTACTCGCCTCACGTCCAGAGTCATATGGATCGTCTCTGCAATCGCATTGATTCCGAATTCGTCGCCAACGGGAGGACAATGAACCTGAATAATATGTGGGGCGCCTTCACCTCGGACATCGTCGTCGGATACTGTCTCGAGAAGCCGTATGACTTCATCCTGAACCCAGACTTTCGCGCCCAATTCTCTGACGCCATGTATGCCATCTTGAGTCAAATCACACAAGTAGGATGACTAACACGCTCCAGGGTTGATCTCCTCGACCCTGTTCACTTCATCACACAATTCCCATGGATGATCAGATCCCTGAAGCTGCTCCCAGACTGGCTCGTCGTGCTCCTGTCGCCGCCAATGCGCTCTGTCATGACCTTCAACAAAGAGATGGAGACGCAAATTCAGCACGCCAAAGCCGTACACGCCTCTGGGGAAAAGACGATGGCCATCCCATCTCTTTTCACAGCTCTCCTCGAGTCCGACCTCCCACCTAGCGAACTCTCCACCAAACGCCTGCAGCACGAAGCCATCTCCGTCATCGGCGCGGGCATCGAAACAACAATGTACACGCTGTCGACATGCTCGTACCACCTGCTCGCCAATCCCCAGACGCTGGCCAAGCTGTGCACTGAACTCAACGCAGCGATTCCAGATCCAAATCACATCCCGAATCTTGACGCGTTGATGCAGTTGCCGTACTTAACTGGCGTGGTCAACGAAGCCCTGCGATTCGGCTACGGCACTCCTCAGCGCATCCCTCGCCTCTCACCAACACCCATAGTCTACCACACCCCCGAAGTAGACTACCAGCTCCCTGTAGGCACTATCGTGAGCATGGACCATTACACCGCCTCTCATGATCCAAGTATTTTCCCCGATCCTTTCGCGTTCATACCGGAGCGTTGGGCAAATGATGCAAAGGCACCAGATGGAAAGGCGCTAACCAAGTACCTGATTGCATTTGGACGTGGAACGCGAAGCTGTGTGGGCATGCAGCTTGCGTATGCGGATTTGTACATTGGCATTGCGAGTTTCTTTCGGAGGTTTGAGTGCGCGCTGTTTGAGACTGGGCGCGATGCTGTCGATTTGTACCTTGATAGCTTTGTTCCGCGCGCGAAGCCGGGGACGCAGGGAGTGAGGGTTGTTGTTCAGAGGAAGCGATAGCGTTCTTTTGTTGTTGCGCCGCGGGGGCAGTTGGACCTGGCACAGGCCCCGGGGGCCGACGATGCCCGGGGCTGTGCACGCTAGAGGCTAGGCTGCAGCACTTCCACCGTCCTTCTTCGACGCGCTGAATGCCACACAGCCTCGGTCTCATCTTCCTGTGACAGTAATTTTGACCCTCACGAGCGCGACAGTGTTATGGATATCGCTATAAATACTGCTACAATGCCTGCTCCAACCCCACCTCCTCTTCCGCCTGCCCCAAAGCCCGCCTCAAAGGCCATAAACCTAAAAGTATCCGCGCCAACATCTCAACCAAAGCATGGTCACAATACGAATGCCTTAAAAGTATCATTTGATCAACCCTTTAGTCCATGCTACATGTTCCTATACGGCTCACTTATGGACCCGGAAGTCCTACAAGCGGTCCTGAACCTCCCCAAGCTCCCCACCACACGACCTGCAACCATTACCGGGTTCAGAGTCAGAATGTGGAGTATATATCCAGCACTCGTACTTAGCTGTTCCGATGAGAAAGTGTCAGGCGTGGTGTGGAAAGTATACCAAGAAGAACACTTCAAGCGTTTGCAGGAGTACGAGACCGGTGCTTACATCTGGACCTGGTGCGAGGCGACTTTGGCTGATGATAACACGGTGCTTGAGAAGTGTCGCACATTTTTTTGGGCCGATGGTCCGGATAGTAAAGAGCTGGAAGATGGGAGTTTTGATCTGGCGCGATATCAGAGGGTACTCAAACCGTCCATTGTCAAGAAGCGACCTGCGGTGCCATGAGCATAGAATGGGAATAGCGTGTAGAGACGGGATCGCTAATGCATGACTGGTATTGGCACATATGAGAGAGCCCCATCAAGGTGTTGTGCAACCTGAAGACCGACATGCTATCGGTGTTGTCTACATACACCCGTCTTATCACATCGTATAATGCAGGCAACGCCTAGTTCTTCCACCTCCTCATGTTCGCCATCATTCACGACGTCTACTATATTAGCAAGGTCTGCGTCCGCATTCGATAACCCGGGGTGTCTGCATCCCAAAACGCTTTCCGAAAATTCGAGCGATCGACCGCATCTACATGAGGACGCTTCGCGCTGAACTAGATTCTCCTATCCATATCGAGTTAGTATTGGATATATACACGTGAAGGTGTGCCAATGTACATCTCGACTCATGATGGTATGCAGACGCCATATCTTCGAGCATGATGGTTGTGTGTAGCGACCACGTATGCGAACGCTGGTGTTGGAGTAAGATGTTCCGACTTCTGATCGGTGTATTTGGAGGAGGTGTGTGTATCGGAAGAATAGCGCTCGTTTCTTAGGCGTATTAGCTGCGGGCGAATATGGTGTGAGAGGATGTATACACACCAAGGTCCTGCCGAGCTCGGCGCCGCATATATAGTTTGTAGAGAAGCCATATAGTTGGTGGACATGTGACGAAGAGAGCGACGATAGCAACGATGCTTTGGGTGTCGAGTGCCATGCTCTAGAAATCGAGTACAATGACGATAGAATTGGCAGAGCGCTCCCTGTCGTATGGAAAGATCTCAAATCAGTGGAATCTTGCGGCTGCTGCTTGATCTTGGGCATGGGAGCGAGCGATGACTGTTATATACTTCCTGCTACTGCAGGAGTCCAACATCAAGCAAGCATGCCTGACTGTATGACACCGATTTTATTTCCCAGCCTTCAAGACAGAGCGACAACATCATGCACCCTTGGTCGAAGATTGTGTTGACGGCCAACCACTTTGGCGACCCATTTTCGCCTGATCAATCCAAAGAGTATCGGGACGCCAGTCTGCACAGCACTGTCTGAACATCCGCCCATCGTCGCTTGTATCAGGCGTAGGATGGCGACCCAGAGTGCCGGATACGAACCGTCGGAGTGAGGATTTTGATTGCGACCAATCGTTCCTGCGCAGCCAGATGGCGCCGGCCGGAGCGCTGTGATGGTTCAATTCAGCCTTAGCGGGGGTTGCACACTCGCAACGGCTGAAGCGCAAAGCAAGAAGGATTCTGATCCCAGCCTCTCAGGACGTCTCATCGAAAGCCTGGCGAAGCCGTGAATGGTACGCTATGACCGAGCCGCAGGGGTTCGGGACGACTGCAACCAGCCTGTTGGTCGTGTAGGCACGGTACTGTGGCAGTCCGTGGACCGTTAATGTGGCGCGCCCAGCGGCGTTCGTGGACGGCGGTGCTCAACGTGGAATGCTGGTGTGCAGCAAAACCCTAGCCGCGCAGGGGGATGTGCAGCAAAACCCTGGCCGCGCGGGTGTGAATTGCTCGAACTACCTAGGTAGAGATGGAGGGACGGAAGACTGGTCAGACCCCTATGCGCACACACCCACTAACATGCATGCCCTGCTGCCCATCTCGTTTGCAGGATGTAGCATATTGATCTACTCCAGTTGAATACGTGTCGAATGCGTCCAAAGATTCTGGCAGTTACCAATCATCGAAGGCCTGGGATGACGGAGGCGCAGTCTTTGCACGATGGCCATGACCGCTCCGTCGGGTCTGACCCTGCGATGGCTCTATGCGGGTACAGAGCGCTGTACAGTAAATGATTCTGAAAGCGGCCAATGGGGTGCCGCCAGCTGCATTCCTTCTCGAATGCCTTCCAAGGTTCGCATTCGCACCTTCCATCCGCCGAACATGACAATCAAGGATACGCTCGAACATCACACGGCCTTCTCAGCTATTCTTTTTGCAAGAATTACTACGTTTTCATTCAGACCATTGCTAAGGTTTACGCTCATTTCAGCTCTGCGTCGCTTACAGCTGCCTTGCGACAGGGAAGCAGTCGCTCCAAAGTCTTACTCGCAAAACCAATACTACTTTGGAAAGCCTATGGCGTTCGCCCATGAGCTCCAAGATGCCCAGAAGACTTGAAGTAGACCGGTCAGAGTGGAACTCACGAAAAGACGACATCCTCAAACTATACGTGGAGCAAAATGAACCGCTGTCTGAAGTTATGCGTGCCATGGCCAAGCAAGGCTTTACTCGAACGTGAGCGATTCCCGACCCCAGAATTTACCTCGCTGACTCGTCAAAAGAAAACCACAATACGAAAGATCTTTCAAGAGATGGCGCGTCTCGAAAAATGTGCGGAAAAGCGAATGGGACTTTATCCTCGGTCGCCTGAACGAGCGCAATCGCCCAACCGTCGTCAAAGTCCGGGGCGTCGCAATTTCGCAAACGAGAATTGAACTGCAAAGGCTTAGGCAGCGCGAGACGACTCTTGGTCGATGCATGTCGCGTAAGTCGATAGATTCTTCGGTTATTACAGCCAGCTGAGAAGCTATACAGAATTCCATCCACAGCCTCGTTCTCCAACACCCGACGGTATCGCGATATCCTCACCTGCACCAGACTCAAGCATCGAAGAGCATCAGCTGGGCGAAAGACGAGATCACGAGTTGGAACCTCGCGAGCCAAATGCGGAATCCAGTGGCGACTTCGTCGAAAGCTCAAGGATACTTGAGCGTGATCCTTCTCTGCAACCGGTTAGCGAGTCTATCGCAAACGCTGTTTCCACTACAATTTCGGAGTCTGGATTCGAACATGTAGACTCGACCTTAGCCGTAGCGGCAGTAGGTCATCCTTCTCAATCCAAGACGACAGCATCGTTCTGTCCTGGGCCGCTCCATGATTACATTCGGCATCGGATCCTCGAATATGCCTCTATTCAGATTGTGTTGGGTAGATCCAAGGAGGATGTTTTGCGAGATTACCTGTCATTCATAGATCAAGACTTCAGTTGTGTCGGCCATCCGGTTCTCAAGGCCTTCCTATTCTGTGTTAAACCGCAGAAGAGGCTCCAGATGATTGCAATGGATTCCAGCAACAAGTACGAGCTACGTTTACTCCAGTCCCTGCTTTGGTCCGGTCGAGATATTCCCATATGGGATGCGTTTAGTTTGAGCCTCTTACATGCTGCAGTGGTGGACGGAAATCTACTTCTGGTAGACGTAGTCGGCCAAACAGTGAGACATATCGACGCCCGGTTACCGCTCGAGTACCGGCACGACCTTCGGGGGAAACGCGTTCTTGTACATACCATTCCTTGGGAACTTACGCCACTACAGATGGCGGTCGTCTGCCGTCACGAGACTATTGTCGAGGCCTTGAGTAGGCTTGGCGCTACGATACTGACTGGAAACCGAGATTGCGACTGGAGATTCCTCCAGGATGCATATGGACAGAGGGAAGTATTGCAGCCACTTCTGTCAAGACTGGCGGCTTCAAAAAGTCCTACAGCCGGACGTGGAATCTGCCTTCTCGCCACCGCAGTAGTACTTGCAAACTTCACATTAATCGAAATCCTTCTCGAGGCTGGCTTCAACCCCTATCTGTCTACAAACGGGAGCACGGACTTTTCAGGAATAGTGACCTTCGAGGATGTGTCTCAAAGGGTCCACACTCCTTTCATGGTCGCCTTCGACATGTACAGAAAGTACTGCGTGCATGTCGATGGGGATCTAATGTCGTCATCAGAAGGATCCGTAATTGCAAAGCTTCTCAGCTTCTCTACCCACAAGCTCGACGAGGGGCAATGGTCGTCGCAACTCCATCAAGTTGCACTGGCTTATGCGTTCTCAGGGCTCGCAAAACAGTATGAGCTTGAGACTGCGCTCTACGAGATGTCTGGATTTGACCAGACAGACATAGAGAGGACAATACGCGACCGCAGATGGGATTTGATACGAAGTATTGAACCAATGCCATGTCCATGGGCCGCGCTAAAGTTGAAGCGCCCTGGCAGGATGGAATCGATAGTACGGCTCGAACGATAGTGAGCAAGACTGCGACACGAGTCGATCTGGTGTGCACATGGTGTACAACCAGAAGGACCAGCCTTCACACGGAGCGGCGGCATACCAAATCCATCCCCTACGCAACGCTCAGAAGTCCTATCCAGAAGCTCGCAGTCTCATCAAGTTGCTTCGATGACGAACAGATGGAGACGTACCTGGACGCAACA